GCCTTTATGTTTCCTTAACGTTCCTTTATCTCACTTTGGATATCCCTTCCGTCCCTTTTCTGTCTCTGGGTATATGTGGTTATATAAGGCTCTATAGAAATCAATGCTGTTTGGTGAGGATATGTTTTATGTTATTTATCCCCTGTGTATTTCCGATGTAAAAATCTGGGGGTCACCAGTGACACAAAACCTAATGAAGTCTCGGAAGTCGAACCTTGCCTGTTTACTTCGCCTGCGGGGCGTTGTTATTACTTGCACCTTGTTTTTTGTATGGCTTTTTGGGGCAGTCCGCAACAGGGAGAGAGAGGTGTTTGAGGGGGAGGGAACGGGATGCCTGTTAAGGGGAGAGGGGTCGAACACACGCACGAACAGTACAAGACAGCTACTTCTTGTGTTAGCAGTGAATCGAAAGAACACCTTGCTGTTACTCTTTAAACGGAGCATTCGTACATTTTTACTGCGGCATCATGAAACAGCACGGAGTTAACGGTACTTCCGCCCACAACGACCGCCTTTAATGTTTACTAGCTAGTTGTGGCCCGCTTTTTTGGGGCCGCCCTACCGCTGGATCTCGCTAGGCGCGTGGGTGGGATGTTGGACAGCCGTTTTGCCTTCTTGGTGCCAGAAACCTGCACGGCGCGGGCGGCGCGCTGCGCAGACCCTGTCATGCTGTCTATGCGCTGAGGCACTGCCTCCAGTGCTGCGGCCACTTTGTTGCTCTTCTGCCTCGCCGCTGCCGCAGTACCCGGGGCGGGAAACAGCAGGGTTTTTGCGCTCGCTGACGTCTCTTCCACGGCGTCGTTGCACCCAAAAACAAACTCCTCCATCCCTTCCTCGTCGTTGTGGGCCGTCCCAAGCTCTTCCGCCTCGTTTCCGCAGTGGTCCACGCGCAGCGGCCGCTCCTGCCCCCGCCCCAGTGGCGCATACTCAACATCCTTGACGGTGAGGGCGTGACCAGCGACAGGTGCGGCTGTGTCCAGCAACTCAAACTGCTGTGTCATTGGGTGTGGGGCGTTCGGGTCGCTCTTCCCGTGAAAACACGTCCGCGCGGGTCGCAGCTGCAGCGGTTTATTGAAGTCGAGTGACTCGCTGAGTATGTCTTGAAAGTTGTTGTTTGGCCCCTTGCAGTTCTGCGGCACATTCATGTCCATTTCGGGATTCACGAAGTGAAAGCGTGTCTCGGGGTCCTCCATGGGGACCGCGCTCAGGCCGCCCTCCGCCGCGAGGCGAAGTTTGCCATGCAGGCGACCGACACGCTTCTCTACGACAGAGGCAACCTCCTGCGCGCGCTGCCGCCTATGCAGCTTCTTCCACTTCGAGCGCGAAGACTTTGCCATCACGTGCCTCCCTGTTGCTGCTTATCCTCCCTTTGTGTGTGCGTAAGCCTTTACTCTGATCCTGGGCTCCGCGGTGTGGGTGTGTGGGTGTGTGGGTGTGTGGGTGTGTGGGGAGTGCGTACACGCAAAGGTAAAGCCAAAAAAAAAAAAACTCAACCCACGCGGTGGGTGCAGAAGGGTGGCTGCGCAGCCACAGCAGCAAAACAGGAGGAAAGCAAACAATGTAAGGGAGGTGTGCAGGCACTACAGCCAAGTGGCCGAGTGGAAAAGCGTCTGTTGCCTTCCGCTGAGGCAATGACAGAGCAGCTTTTTTTCTGTTTGTTTGTTGTTGTTATTCGTTCGAGAGAGGAAAAGACGGAAAGGGAATAAAAAGGGGAAAAGCGACAAAGAAAGGAGGGCGGGGTCCACACGTGCAGGGCATGTGTGAGGAATGGGCAGCCAACAGTTGCGTCGGCGGGCACACCCACCGCCACGACCAACTGCGCCGCACCTTCAAAAAAAAAAAGGAGGGCGGAGTGAAGGCAACGGAAAACTGCCAGCAAAAAACGCGTAACTACCACCGCGAGTTTCGCCCTCTCCGCGCGGAGGCGGCCTTTTTCCAGCAGGCCGCAGGCACCCTGGCCCCTCCACGTGGGCGCCGCAACGCTCCCCCTTTAACCCCTCCGCGCCGGCCCCGGAACGACAGGAGTAACACACACGAAAAAAAAAAAAAACAGCAACGACGAAGAGAAAGATGTTTTTGTTTGTGTGTGTGTTTGGCGGCCGCCTCGCTTTTAACCCGTGGCGGTTGGTGCAACAGGGATGAGCAGCACACAGACAGGCGCAGGCGCACGTTAGGTGAATGCCTGGAAACAAGGCAAAAATGCAAACAAACACCAAAACACAGCGACGGGGAAAAGGAAGAAAAGGGGAGGTGAAAGAGATCACGGCATCACCGCCACAAAAAACAAAACAAAACAAAACAAAAGGAAAAGCAACAAAGACAAAAAACAAAAAAAAAAGAAACATTACAAAAATGAGAAGCAAACGAGACCAACGCACCAATCGTACATATAGAGAGATTATTCGTTCTTCTTCTTTTGTTGCCGTTTCTTTCTTCCTCCAAAGAAATTTTTGATCGCCTTCTCGTCCATGACTTCAGACACTCGCAAAGTTCCACTCCTCATCCCTCTTTTTTTGTTGTTTGTTTCCTGCTCTCTCTTCTTTATTTTTCCTCTCTCTCTCTCTCTC